TATAATGTATCTATATAGCGCATGTATACGTAGTGTACACGCACCTACACATATCGTATTCTATGTATCTTTATACAAATGGAAAAATGCACGACTACAAAAATAGTCATTTCATTTCAAGGGGTGTTCTCAGCTCTTTCTTTGTCTAGTCAACCCTAGATCTAGGTTCTAATAACCCATCAAGTACCTACAGTGTCTGGTTGTTAAATTGATAGTTCATAGCTCTTAACATCCCAATAAACCCCACTTTGACCTGACCCGACTCAAACCCATCTCCATAGCCCCTCCAAATGCATTCTTGAAAATAGAAATGTCTCACACAAATCATCTACTCCATCTTTCATGGCTGGATCTACATGTTATGTTATGGGGGCAGTGGCCCCAGGTCAATTTTTTTAATAAAAAAGTCTTAAAAATTTAAATTTTTTGGTGGTAAATTAAAAGAGCGCTCATCTTAAAAATGATGTTCCCTTGCTGCTAAAAGAAAATTATAGTTTCAAAGTAAAAAATATTTATTTAAATAAAATATAAAAAAAAATTAAATATATTTGAAATATCATAGTTCTATTAGGTTGTGATATATTTTATAGGAAAATGCTATTAGTACATAAAAAATTATACCTCACTTTGTACTCCGAAGACATGCACCAACATTTTGTGCTAGTGTGATACTACTATGATATTTTACAATGACACAAAATGTCAGTGCTATTTTTTTGATTAAACTAACATTTTGTGCTAAAGTGAATCATTAAAATGCTGGTGCATCCCTTTGGATACAAATTGGGGTACACTTCTTGGCAGGGCCGGCCCTGAAAAATGAAAAAATAAAATTTGCCCGGTCCAAACTTTACATTTTGGGCCCTATTTTATTTTTTTAAAATTAATGTCAAATTTAAAAATATAAGGCCCAAAAAAATCAAGGGCCCGGTGCGGTTGGCCACTTTGCACACCCTCCGGACCCCATGCTTCTTGGTGTACCCCTAGCATTTACATTTTTCTACATTACAAAATTTTTTTCTACTTATTTGAATACATGTTCAAAATTCACTTATTCATTTTTCATCATTATAAATAACTTTAAAAAAATTTCAAGCCACTGCCCTCGAACCTCTGTCCTACTCTTTACCACGAGTTTGCTACTCTTTACTACAAGTTTGCCTCATGTCATACTTTTTCCCAGAGCTGCAACTGCTTTCTATTCTAATTTAAGCTGTTGATTATTGACTATGTTTAATTTAAATTATTTTTAAAGTGCTGAGGGCATCAAAGCTTCGCTTCGGTGCCCCTTTGTTTGGTAAATACATGCAACCTTTTAAAATCATAAAATTTTTAATTATAGGTTTTGAAAAAAGAGTAGTAGTACCTATTTCTCAAACTCACGAGGACACCATATCTATTCACCCGATCGAAGTAAATATATAGTTCAAACAAATATATAGTTCTAACTTCTTATAGGTCCACAAGATACACCCACCTTTTTATACAAATATTTTATTTTTATTCACAATATATTAAAAACTGCTTATTTTGGTAGTAATAAAATACTATCTCCTCAAAAAAAGATAGTATCTCCATTTTGGAATGTCTATCCAATTTTGTCTTTTTGAAGTTAAACTTATTTAATCTTTAATTTTAATTATATAAAATTGATATTAGACATAGAGTATTCGAAAAAAGTATTTTTATTAGATTAATCTTGTAAATATTTTCAAAATATTATTTTATTTAATTAATATACTATCTTCGAAGTAACTTTTATTTAATTATAGATCAATGTTGATTCTAATTGGTTTGTAAAAGTTAAATTTAACAAATACTCAGTATACTCTTTCCGTTCTAAATTGGATTACACAATTCGATTAACATGTAATTCAACTCAATTCTTTTTTAAATTTAAGTTATTTGCAAATAGTTATAAAAATACGGAGTATAAAGGCAAGTTCTTTTGTGATCTATGTATCCATGTTCTTTATATTGACCTCAATACATAAAATGATTATATGTTATGGGTATTGTATAAAAAAATGATCCAGTTATGAGTCCATGTAAAATATATGAGGAGATCTATATTTCACATGTAGATAATAGAGCCACGATAGCACAATTCAAATTAATAGGACAATTTAAATATTAAAAAACTAAGTATTTAAAAAATTTAAAATAAATGATGATAAAATATTTTATTTTATGAAAAAATTAATAAAAAGATATAAACAAAATAAAAATTATAGAAAAAATTGAAAAAACAGAATAGTTACTATATAATCTATTTCGAAATTATGAAAGCTCACTCTGTAAAACCTAGCTTCACACACAAAATTCAATCAAATATCCCTGTCCTCTCAATTACTCGAGCATATTTCGAGCTGGGATGGAGTAGGCTTGGTTTTTGGCCATTTCTACTGGTACCCAACCAACAGTTGGATCTCGATTTCAAGTCTGATTCCTTTCTTGATCTGAGCTCGGTAAGTGTTTTCCGTATGCTCAATCTCAAAATTTTCGCTAGGGCTTTAGAGCATACGGTATCTTGATTTCTTCTATTCCTCTGTTGATCTGGTTTCATTTCTGGTGTGAGATCTTGATTTTACTGGGAATTAGGTGCGAATTTGTTGAGCTAGGTTTTACTGTTCTTCATTCGGTTTGGAGTTAATGGTTTGATTTTTGTCTCTTATATTTTGGTGTATATTGTTTGTTAGAGGTTGCAATGTCGCAGGGCTATGCAATTGAGCTTTACTTTGATCCCGCTCTCGAGAACCAGGTGTTGAAGGCCTGGAATGTGTTGGCTAGGCGGCAGATCAGCACTCAGCTCATTGAAATCGAATCCCGACCTCACATTACCCTCTTTTCAAGCTCCCTCTGTGATCCTTTCAAGCTCGAGACCACAGTGAAAAACTTTGTGGCAAAGCAAGAACCTTTGCCTCTATCATTTGCTTCCATTGGGAGCTTCTCAAGTGACAACAATGTTCTCTTTCTAGCCCCAACTCCGACACTGTCTCTCCTTCAGTTCCATTCTCAGCTGTTTGATGCCATGAGAAAGGAAGGAGTTGAGGTGGGGGAGGAGTATCGCCCTGATATGTGGCTTCCGTATTGCCCTGTAGCTGAAGGGGTGCCCAAGGCTCGGATGGCGGAGGCCTTTAATGTTTTGAGGGACTTGAAACTGCCTGTTTCTGGATACGCGATGGATATTGCGCTGGTTGAGTATCCACCGGTACGTGAGGTCTTCTCGTTTGCACTTGGTAATTCTGTTGAACCGTGATGTCTAAAAGAGTTTATTAGCTGTTACTGTGCACTCTGGCGTCATTATAAGATTGTTCCTTTAGAAAGTAAGTGTAGAGTATTGTTAACTGTGCTGTTGTAGTTACAAATTTAGGCCTTGTTTCCCTGCTACATTAATGGTATTTTACATTTGAGTTTGGATTTCTGGCCTTTCTTCTATGACAATATTATTGGCCACATTTGGACTGTAAGTGTCTGTTTGGATAGGGGTTTTTGGAAGGTTTCAGAGGTGAAAAAATTTGATTGCTTTTATTTGAGATTGTATGACAATTGAAAGATTAACATGGCATGTGATTGTAAAACACTCTAATCACCTGTTATTTGTTTTAAAACATTATTTGTCAAAATATGGATGTAGTCCTCTAAAAGTCTTTCCCTTCAAACTACCCCATCCAAGCAGAACTCAGAATTTAAGCTGGATTGGAATAATAATAACAATAATGAGACTCTAATCCTTTTAAAATTTACTGGATTTTGGGTTTGAAAATTTTAATGGCACCAGGTGAGTACATAGCCTATTTCATTAGATTGAATGGTCATTCATTATCAACTTCATGCATCAATTTCATTAGATTGAATCCTTTACATTGAGGGATTGGAGACAATGGAAATGGCTGTAGTTTATTGTGAATTTACACATCAGGTCCTTTATACAGTTTCACTGAGTGGGACTTGATTAGCTGACAATGGAAACAATGTAATTTACTGTGAAATTACACCTCAGGCCCTTTAGACAGCTCTTGTTTCGCTAATGTTCCTTCGCACATCAGAACCTTTTTCCCAAAGCTCAGTAGATGGGTATATGTTGGAAAGTAATATAAAGTTGCTTGCGACGTTTGGCTCTAGCTGAAAGAGATTCTTGGCCGAGATTCTGGTGACATGCTCTTGATGAACTAGTATGCTTCGATTGCTTCATCAAGCCCACTTGCTCGGCCAAGCAAATCAACAAGTCTTTGAGTAATTGAGTCTTTGTACAATTTGGAACAGTCTTTGAGTAATTGAGTCGTTACCCATCCCGAGCCTCGCATACATCAATGAACTGTAGACATGGCTTTGCCGCGCCCACTTGGGAGTTACTTTAGCTATCATGGTTTCTCGCTCAACATATATATATACAATGTTCTCTTTAGTAGTCCTTACCGCCGGGGCGCAAAGTTAGTGCGCAGTTAACAATAATGACACTTAAATATTTTATTTTCTTTTTTCGAAATTGTCATTGTTATTTTATTTGCTTATAGGGGGGCGGTTACGTTGACACTGCTCTGATTACCTATGGTGCTCTGTTTGCAAAATAGAAGGTTTTTTTGTTCTCCCGTAAAGCCTTAAGCAGCTTGACACAGCTGCCAACACCCTCAGTTCGCCTTGGGTGCTTGGGGTGCCTAAAACATTTATGAGGATATCATCGTGCCCCACTGGCACGAAGGTACCGGCCTGAGCATCGGCCTACAGTTGGTGTTGTGAAAGTTGGAAAAAAATTAATTAAGTTAAACCAATAAGAAGAAATGAGGAAAGAAACATAAAGAAAACTCTAAAGATCGACAATACGTACTATCCTATCAACAGCTTCTCTATGTCTAGGGTCATGAATCTCAAGCTTCCTCCCATCGGTGTTACCCAACAACCAAAGGTTCTCTAGTGTGAAAGGTGGAGTCGCATATGAAGTGACACTAGAACTGCTGGTGGCAAACATCGTCAGCTCCTGCTCAAGCATGGTGTATCCACTGCGGCTCAGATAGTGTTGACAAATATTCTTCTTCTTCTGTCGCTCCTTGTTTGCATCACAGGTAGCCTAAAAACAATTTTTGAAAACTGTTTCACAGTAAAGAAACATAATATGGTGCTGTATATTACCTTTAACTCTTCAGTCTCACTCTAAGTTTTCACTGTACTCTGCGTGGATGTACGTATCCTCAACAAAAGGAGTCTGATTGTACTTCTTCCCCACCCCCAGCCTCAAGTACTCACCTCGTAAGAACGTCTGGAAGGAGCGCCATCTCTCCAGAGCCAATCTCAAGGTATACTTGGCAGCGTCACCCTAAGGTATCTCGTAGATAGTCTGCAAGTAATTTAAAGTTTAAACACTAAGTTCCTTACAATAAATTTTGATGAATTCTATATTGATAAGAAAAACTTATTTATATCTCAAACATAATCACGTACTCGGATTTCAGCAAGTACGTACCTTGCCTTTCAGGTCGGGTGGGACCTGTTGCCACTCCACAAAGTTTATAGGCACTCTAGACCTGACCTCGAAATCGATCACGATAGAAACAAGCTTGATGTATTCCCCAGTTACAGGTTAGCCTCCCCGACGCTCAAGCTGTATCGGTGGATGGCCATCCCCTCTCGCTGGTAGAGCACATTACACTGCGCTAGCCCTCTAGTCTTCTTGGGAGTGTCCTGCATGCATACAACAAAGACGCTAGTTATATTAGTTTAGACACCTTGGGAACATCTTAAAAGAGCGTAGTTCCATAATTGTTTTTGACTAATATATTATTTATATTAGTCGAGGTCAGTCCTTTTTTTTTACAAATTAAAACTCATATATCATCAAACAAACATTATATTAAAAATCATAAATCAAACAAATAGTCCAGAATCTTTGTAATTCATTCCATCGTGCAAGTTTCCACATAAAAATGATAAACTAAAACTAATTAATTAAAATATACCGAGTATAATGAATAAGAAAACTGGACACACATTCTCTTTTACAAACAAAAGCAGGACTGCCGGAATAAAATTCGACAAAGGAAAACCCCCTCAAGCCCAAAACCTAAAAAGTTCCTTAGTTTTAAATCAACACAATGAAAACTAACTCCATGCATTCACTTGAAAGAGAGACTAAAAAATAATACTTTTTCCGTCCCTGACTATTTGTCTACTTTTGACTTTTTTGTCAAAATTGATAAATTTTGACCTCAAATTAAATAAAAATGATAATAGATATTGATACAAAATAGTTTTATTATACTTTTATATAAAATATTTTTAAAATATTATTTTATCTAATTAATATCCAATATATATTTCATTTATTTATAGGTCAAAGGTTGAAAATGGTTGACCAAAAAAGTCAAAACTAGACAAATACTCACTATCATACTCTCAATTACTCCCTCCGTCCTAAAACTTTCTTCCCGGTTTGACTTTTTCTCCTTTTTAAGGGGTTGTATAATTAGGCTTTGATTTCCCATTTTACCCTTCTAACAAAAAAATTAGAATTTGAAAAAAAAATTAAACGCAATTAGGGAGAAAAGCACACAAAACATTCCATTAAACATTAAACACAAAACATTCAATTTAACATAAACAAGGACAGCTCCCTTGTAAGGCAAAAATCCGAAAAGCAACCATTACAATCAGAAGTTTCCCTCCAACACAAAAAGAAAAACTGTAGGATTACTACACTCTATAAAAAGCAAACATTTCTACTTTTAGTAACTCTAATAATCTTCCTTCCTTCTAAATCAACCATTCATCTTTGTATTAAAAGAGGTTTGCTAAAAAGTCTTTCAAATGCAATCAAACCCTTTTTAACAGATGAAAACATGTTGAATAGATTGCAGTTCTCTTTGAATCAATTGGAACCCACTAGCATGCCATGTAATCCCAGATTTAAAACATTTCACAATGTTCTGCACATGGATGAGAAGTGGTTTTTCATGTCTAAAACATCACAGAAGTATTATCTTACCAATGATGAAATGGATCCATATAGAACATGTAAGTCTAAGCGCTTCATTACTAAGGTCATGTTCTTATGTGTTGTTGGTAGACCATTCATATCAGAGAATGGAGAGATTTTATGGGATGGAAAAATTGGAATATTTCATTTTGTTGAAACTGTGGCTGCTAAAAGAAAGAGTAAAAACAGGGATGCAGGGGTATTAGAAGTGAAACAACTTCTGAGTGTCACCAAAGAAGTGACTAAAGATATGCTGGTGAACCAGGTTATCCCTGCAATTAGGCAGAAGTGGCCCTCTTTCTTGGATAGGAACATAGTTCTCGAGCAAGACAATGCAAAGCCACACATTTCTACCACAGATCTAGAGTTTATGGCAGCAGCGAGTGTGAATGGCTTCAACATCATCCTAACTAACCAACCCCCCAACTCCCCAGACCTCAACATTCTAGACTTGGGTTTTTTAGAGCCATCCAATCATTGAAAGAGAAAACTGCTCCTAAAAATGTGGCAGAGCTAGTTGAGGCAGTTAAGGGTGCATATGCAGCACTTACACCACAAACATTGAACAAAGTATGGTTGAACTACCAACATGTGATGCAGGAAGTAATGAATAATGATGGAGGAAACAAGTACAAGCTACCACATATGGCAAAGGACAGATTAGCTAGAGAAGGAACACTGCCAGTGACTCTAAATGTACCCCAAACACTATTGGAGAAGACAGTAAGGGTGCTGACCAATATGTCTGTGCAAAATGAAAAGCAAGTATTGCCTCAGTTCATGAGTGAAGATGGAGAAGAGTTCTCATCTTCAGAAAAGAATTGAGTGTGTTTCATAACACCAAGTATTGCCTCACACACACACACACACACACACACATATATATTGAAGAAATTTTTATATATTAATTAAGACGAATAAAGATACAAATTTTGTCACATGTATTTGCTCCCCTAACATTTTTGGGAAGAGAAGTGAATGATAAATAGTCGGAAAACAGATTGTTTTTGAGTGCATATTTTGCCAGATTATGTGCCGCTGTGTTCTCTTCTCTGTATATGTGGCTGGCACTCCCATGTCTTGCTTGTAGAATTGTCTTTATGTTGAAGCTGACTGTATCTTCTCTATTTGTCACATTAATTCTATTTATTGCATTTTTGGAGTCCATGCAGAGATTTATTTGTCCATGAAGAATTTTTGTGGACCATTGTAGGCCCAACAGTCCAGCTTCCAGTAATATATATATATATATATATATATATATATATATATATATATATATATATAGGGATTGACTCCAGTGAGATGACATGTTACGGTGAGATGACATGCTTTGGTCAGATGACGCAAAGCTCACCACACTACACTTTAAAGCTCACCAATGGACAATGCAAAGCTCACTTGGAAATAAAGAAAAGCTCACCACTTTGAACACCAAAACTAGTTTTTTTAAATTTTGAAAATTAAAAAATTAATTAAAAATAAAATAGCAACACCGGTCAACCACCGGTCAACGGCGGCGGCGACCGGCGGTGGCTGCCAGAGTCCTGTGACGGCGGCC